GAGAAAATAATAAATAAATAAGTATATTTAACGTTCCTTATATCTAAAACAAAATTCATCACAATAACAATTCTTAAAAAAATATACTTAGTTTTTGCTTTAAACCAAAAACAAAACAAGTTTTGCTTTGAAACATACTCGTAAACAAAATTTTATGCCTTCCACACACACAACTAGGTGTTTTTTTCCGAATTATAATATTCTAGTACTAATCTCCGTTGGATAGCTATGAATGATGTATGCGTTGTAGCATTTATACTTCAGCTTTGTTACGTATAAGGGTAATAACAATAAAAGTTGAAAAAGATGAAAACTTCCTACAAGTGCGGTCGGCACCGGAAACAAATGAACGCCATAGCAGGCGAACTTGGCTGGCATAAAAAATACACTTCCGTTGCGTAATACGAAAGTTTCTTAGACATTTTATTGAACAAACTTAAACAAAGTTAATAGAGTATTTTATAATACTTTTTAATTTTTAAATTCTATTTATGGCTTGCTTTAAATTCAATAACTTGCCTTATTTGATATAAAATATTAGTTAAATTAAATTTTAATTACATCACATGTACGACATCTGGGATTTGAACCCGCTCCACTCGATTTTTCAAGCGAGCGCGTCACCACTGGGCTGCTACTGCTTTCAGTTCACATATTGTGATTATAAGTAGGTATTCTATATTACTCGTAGGCCCATAAATTCTAATGTATAGATAATACTAAGCACGAAAAATAACGGTATTAGAAAAAATAGGGTGAATACTATAATATATCAAAAAGCAATAAAAACTTAAAAAAAGAAACCGACTTCCAGGCCCTAAAATGTAACAAATAACTAATATAATAAAAAGCCGATGCAAAGCAAATCTAATATATTTCGATACGTAAAATACATATTATTTAACTATAAGATATTCATATCTCAAAATTTGATTGAATCTAAAAATTGTCGGCTGGCACCGAGTTCGAAAATATCTGATTAGGTATCTATTCTAAATGAAAACCTCCGTTTAGTTAGGTATTTTTTACATTTTAGTGCCTGGAAGTCAGTTTTTTTTAAGTTTTTATTTATCTATTTTTAGTGTAGACGTAATTAGCAGGTAATTTGTAAGAAGAAAGTTTTTTAATAAAATATTCGATTAAACAATTTATTTAAAAAATATTTATTGTTGGTTTTCTACACAACCGCTCGATCGATTTCGATAAAATTTATATGGGATCACCCGGGGAGTATACCCTTTGAAACAAAAAAAAATCCAAATCGGTTCAGGCGAACTCGATACATAAAAAAAAGCAAAAAAAAAAGATTCCGACGAATTGAGAACCTCTTCCTTTTTGGAAGTCGGTTAATAAAGAGTTCGATCATAGAAATAATTGTATCAGGTATCGATATGCGATACACGTAGTATTCTATTTAAATTTTAATATCGCATTAATTCCGTTTCGTGCGCGTCCCGTTAAGCGTGAGTCGGCGTTTACTTGCACCTACCTAGTGTCGGGTTCACATGGGAGTTATTATTTTAAATAATTTTGGATAACTTATGTAGTAGATAATTATTTGCACAATCCACGGCTTTACTCAAGAAATTTTTGAAAAAAAAATACAACGTAATGTCAACAAGTACGTATATTTTACTTTGATCGATACTCAAATACGATTTTCTTATAACTTTATGTAGGTACCAAAAACAGGTTTTGGATGATGAAAAAAGTTTGAATAAAGCTAAACTAGCCATTACAAAATACAGATGTAGGCAAAAATCAATGGATATTAAATATATAGGCAAAGACGACTTCGAAGAAAAGTAACTTGAAAGCTACGAATAAATAATTATTTATTCCTAGATTTAAAGACTTGAGCTTGTCACATTAACCCATCATTCAACAAAAATCTGCAATAATCTAATAGTTACTACAGTGTTTTTTTTACTTGAAGTAAGTTTTTAATTATTTATTTGTAAAAAGCACACTTACAACATACATATGAAACATTTTCAATTTAATTAATGTAATAATAATATACCTTATATGTATGTCAATTATAAGTGTATTTTAAATATTCATGAATTAAAAGTATAAAAATTAAAAAAAAAATTATAGATAAATGTAATATAAAGTTAGGATTTTTAATGTCTAGAACCTAAACCGTTTAAGCGCAACCAGTGTAACCTCGCCCTTGCGGTCACGACGGCGGTGACTTGAATACAGAAATATTCAGTAAATGGCTGGTATTGTTGTGGCAAGTGGCTATACCTTTTCAAATGCTACGTGTCGAGATGTCAAATCTAACTTTTGGTGGCAAAGGGAGTAAAATTTTGTAATATTGCATATGTTGTAATGTTTATATTGCATAATACAGATATGGAATATTTAACTGTAAATTATACATATTATGTTAATTGAAATTTGTTAATTCATGAAATTCTAATTATAATATACTTATGTTATTTACAATTACGTAGATTTTTTTGCTTATAGCATTATATACAATAACATATTATAAAGTGGGTTTTAAATTAGTGTCGTAATATTTTATACCGGTTAAACTTGTAGGTCTTGCTACAAGTTGATTTTAAATACAATATAACTATATAGAAAGCTAACCAAATTCTAAAGTAAAGCATATAATACATATAAATAATTCATCTCATTACAGAATCTTCACAAGTCGTAAGTGGATTGTACAAGCAAAGGAATTGTAAATTATTATATAATACATACAAAATCTATACATATAATAAAATTGTAATTAAGTCGAATCTGTACATTAAATATTTTTTGGAAAATCTTATTGAAATAGACATTATTATCGATACAGAGTCCGAATCTATAGTTTTTAGAATTTTTGTCTGTCTGTCTGTCTGTTATCGCATCACGAGAAAACCACTGAACAGATTTTGATGAAATTTGGTATGATGATAGCTGGTTATCCGGGTCAACATATAGGATACTTTTTACCGCGGGAAAATCTCTCATTTCTGAGAAAAAAATACAAAAACTGCATTGTAAGAGTATACTAATATGTAAAACCTAAGAATTTGGGTTTTGGTCATCTGAACGCGGGCGGATCCGCGGGCAATGCTAGTATACACTATGTCACTTCTAGTATTCCTCTCATTGAATGCCTAGCAGGTACCTGCCTACGTAGGTGCATAATAAAATATTGCGATGAAGGCAGTCGCTCGCCAAGGTCAGTACCACGTCACATATGATTCATTAAGTTATTCAAAATGCAATGTAAGGCTTTAACTTATGTTTTTTATCAAAAGTACAAAAGACATTAAAGAGTACTTAATCTTTTTGAAATTTTATAATAAATCTATACATATAATAAAATTCTAACTAAGTAGAATCTGTACATTAAATATTTTTTGGAAAATCTTATTGAAATAGACATAATTATCGATAGAGTCCAAATCTAGAGTTTTTAAAATTTTTGTATGTTTGTCTGTCTGTTACCGCATCACGAGAAAACCACTGGACAGATTTTGATGAAATTTGGTATGATGATAACTGGTTATCCGGGTCAACATATAGGATACTTTTTATCGCGGGAAATATCTTATTTCTGAGAAAAAATACAAAAACTGCAAAGTAAGAGTATACAAAAATATAAAACCTAAGAATTTGGTTTTCGGTTATCTGAACGCGGTCAGAGCCGCGGGCAATGCTAGTAAATAATAAATATGTTGGGACATTAACACACAACACGATCTTGTTCCATGGTAAGCTACGAAGCTTGTGTTATGGATAATTGAAAGTGTTACCTAAAATAGTAACTATGGGAAAAATGCGATATGACCTCGATAAAACTTTACCATATTACATAATTCGCATATTTTACTTGTTGTTAAATTACTCAATTCGTCACGTAACGCAAATATGAAATAACATAAAAAATACTTGTTTGTAACAGTTTTAGGCACGTACTGCCAATGTGATCAATACAAAAATACGCTAATGGCGTAGATTGATTATTTAAAATTAAAGTATAATATTATTTCAAACTCATTCTGGTAAAGCCCGTAAAAATAATGAAAATTAAAACTTTGTTAACACTGTATTCTGTATCGGGTACTAAAATAGAGTATGATTCAACCAGTCTACTTCCGGTTGACACGATAGATGTAATGTAGAGCCGTATCGCTATTCTTGTTATCTATATATCTCTAAATAAAAACAAACAAACATCCACCTGTTATCTCTGTTTATCAGAACACAATAATCTTCGGATATTGCAGTGTTTTTTTTTTATTTCATACAAGTAACCCATCCTAGCTTTGCTCAACGCCATATTATACGTCAAACTCGTTCCAGAAATTTTCTCAAAAACATAAAAAATAAACCAATAGCCAGAACACACTTTCATAGTTAAAGAATTATATAAATTAAATTAGAGATTCTAGAGTTTCATGCGCACAAACGGACAAACAGATAGAGACGTTATCTATTGGATAGTTAATGATTGAGATGTGATTTGTACTTGTAAAATATTGTACCGAAAAACTAATTTTTCAATTATGAAAAATGAATATTGATATTTCAAAGAGGTTCATAATATAATAAATAACCTCTTTTTAGCGCGGCCTTACAGTTTACACTGACCTTATAATTTATAAGCGTTATGTAACTTTGCAATTATCTGACACCCGACAAGTACAAAACATGCACTAAAAATAAATGCTCTGAAAAAATGGACTTTAATTACATGGAATAAGAACTATGTATGTTGAAGAAGAAACATAAAAATATCTAACAATAATATACAAAGATAGTTTAAAAACTAAAAGCTACGCAAAATTAAGCCTTATTTTATTGAAATAAGAGTTAAACCTTTCTAAGAGAATGCTGTTTTTATATAGCAGAGTTGCAACATAGCAGAGAACACCATCCGCTTGTTTTGCTAAAGATGGCCTATCGATAAGTCATTCGGCATGAAGTGATGAAATGAGATGTTCGATTAAAATAATATTGGTATTAAAAATGAAACTCATACTTACACCACTAGTTTATCCGTCTGTATGTTTTGGATCTGTAATAAAGAATATTATCGTTATTTATTTTACACGTATATTATTATAGGTTTTATCTTAATTTAAGAAAAAAATATATTAGACTGACACATTTTTTTCTATTGTCCACTAGATGGCGGTGTTAGGGAAAAAATGTTTTCTATGATAATTTTTTTTTCGAGTAAAACCAGGTCAAGGTGCTTGTAGCTTATAATATTGCATGTCAAAATAAGTACATGCTGGTTTTAATCTGCATTATCTCTATTCTATCACACTGACGAAGCCAAATAATAAATATCAATTCACATATTTAAAATGTAGGTTTGAAGGTTTGAATTGTTTAACAATATTTGCATACTGTCGTAACAAACTCACTTCGCGTATAATGCAACAAGTGATCGTTAGCCTTGAGAAGAGAAAATTAAAAGGAGAAAAAAAAATACAAAAGATATGCCCCGGGTGAGGATCGAACTCACGACCTTAAGATTATGAGACTTACGCGCTGCCTACTGCGCTACCGAGGCTTGTGAGTAACATTTCAAAATAAATTATCATATGCAGTGGTTATCCTTATTACATAATTCTTATCATACAGATAGTCAAGTCATAACTGAATAACTAAAATATTATAGGTATCTATACATATAATAAAATTCTAACTAAGTCGAATCTGTACACTAAGTATTTTTTGGAAAATCTTATTGAAATAGTCATTATTATCGATACAAAGGCTAAATTTATAGTTTTAGTTTGGTAAAAATAGACATTTCAAATAACAAAAACTCCAACAGAGCTAAATTTTGGTAGAGACCTTTTGGTACACGAGTAGAAATAAAGTGCCCAAAAGTCCCCATCGATCCCATGTGTGCTAAAAAAGTTAATCAAGGTCAAAGATCAAAATTTTCCGTTTTATGGTTTTTTCTCGAAAACGGCAAGTTTTATCAAAAATATAGCCCAAACAAAAATTGTAGATCATAAAATGATCTAAAAAACGGGGTGTTACATTCAAAATATTAATATAGATCATGTTAATTTTATATGTAGGTAGGTACATCAGCTTTATTTGACAAATCGACCATATTAAATAACATATCTATTAATATTGTTATCTGTTTTTGGTATATTATTTACATAATAAAGTTGATGAAGCTTGTTTTTCATATATATAATAATTTATCTCGGTATTTACAAAGTCGTTATAAAGATGTCATTTGGTAAACAATAAATGAAACGGGTTTAAAATATAAGCTATATATATAGTATATATATATATATATATATATATATATATATATATAATTATATATATATACTCGTAATCATTCAACCTTTATAGTTAATTAAGTACAATAATATGCCTTCGGGCAACATAGGTAGTGTCGATTTCTTTAAAGTAATAATTTTGGCGGATCTTCAAATATAATTTACAAACGAGTACGTTTCGAGCTAATATTAAAGAAGAAATGGATTTAGCTTGAATTTTATAATGCAAGCCCATTTTTGATCCTGGAGCTACATACTGTTTATTCTACTTATTGGATATTTATTATACCTAGTAAAAAACATTGTAAAGAAAAAATAAATCAATTTTATTATACCGAAATTTTATAATCATTAAGCTAATATAACTAAGTTTTTCATATTTGGCTCGACCTTTTTAGAAACCTAATAAATTATTCTGTACAACAGTTACATATTCTAGAGCGAGTTTCCATAGATTGATGAATAAAAAACTTATATACAGCCTTATGTAGAAAATTTAAATAAGTATAATAAGTCGAAGACCTTCCTAAAGGCTGACGAGATTCCGAGCACCTTTGTTCCTTGTAGGTAGGTACGAGTATATAGTATTATCCTCGTTGATGCTTTTTAGCTTTACATATAATAAACATAATGATTTCAATTAGCGACCAATTGATCCGGTTATATTTACGATTTAATTACCTATATTATTTTATACAAATAAATAATATTAAAAATAAATAATATTTTATACAAATAAATAAATAATATTTTATACAAATAAATAAATAATATTATTATATATACGCAAATAATTTGCCTTGTTTTAAACTTTAATTTTTACCCGACTGCCGAAGAAGAGTTATGGTTTCCGCGCGTACCTTGTATGTTTCTATGTATGTATGTTTGTAAAATTCTATATTACCTCGTACCATCGTATCGTTAGATTCAAAGTGTCCTTGACACTTGACTGCATAATACTATCCCTTCGCCAAATTGTCCTCATCTTTTTAGTTCGTTTTTTTCGCAATCGGGTTTTTTATTCTTCTAAATTAATTCTTGGTAGTATAGGGAAAAAAGAAGAAGAAGAATATAATATAACAATAATAATATGTTGGGACATTAACACACAGCACCATCTAGTTCCATGGTAAGCTACGAGGCCTGTGTTATGGATACCAGATAGTTGATACACTACACATATATAATTTTAAATACATACATATTATAAATATAAACACCCATGACTGGAGTCCAAACATTTGTGCTCATCACACAAATGAACGGCCCCAGCGGAACTCGAACCCGCAACCGCTGGCACAGCGAGTAGGGTCTCTACAAACTGAGCCAAACGTGTCATCAGAATAATCTTTTATATAAAGTTTTGAGAGATGCTATAAATGTTTCAAGAGTCAGTAGTTTGGTATAGTGTATAATTTACCTATTATGTATATTTTAGTGGTATATTCTCTTAAACTGAACAGTTAAAGCTTCACCGCATAGAAAAGACGATTAAAGTAACACAGCCTTGGTATTTAAAGGTCGGGTGCATGAAGGGCAGTATTCTGTAAACTCTCTCGCTAAAACAGAACCTTAAACCAATATTATACAAAAAATTCAACAGCATCTATACATATAATAAAATTGTAACTAAGCCGAATCTGTACATTAAATACTTTTTGGAAAATCTTATTGAAATAGACATTATTATCGATACAGAGGCCGAATCTATCGTTTTTTTTTTAATTTTTGTCTGTCTGTCTGTCTGTTACCGCATCATGGCAAAACCACTGGAGGGATTTTGATGAAATTTGGTATAGTGATAGCTGGTTATCTGGGTCAACATATAGGATACTTTTTACCGCAGGAAAATGTCTCATTTCTGAGAAAAAATACAAAAACTGCAATGTAACAGTATACTAATATGTAACTGTGTACTGGCATTTCCGTTTGTTAATTCGATTTAAAAGTAATAATTAAAAATGACGATTGGCTTTTTATGACAATCATTTCAGTCATGCCAATTTTAGAATAGTAAAATAAATTGTTTTTTTTTTGTTGTTATAACCATTTTTATACCGAATCTCAATATAATAATTTTTATGATTATATGTAATTATCCCCTTGTTGGATCTCTAAACAACAATGTATAAGAAATCTATTAGTAAATAGCTGTGTGATGGGTTCGAAGGCTGAAGCCATGGTATTACTCCTCAATTATCAAACGCCCACGGCTTAACTGGATGACGTAATAACTTCGCTAAAGTGTTGTAGGTATCAGATGGGTTTTGTAAATAACTTTTAATGGTTATATAAACTCAGATGTAAAATAAATATGTAATTACATATTGAATATTAAGTATTTATTGTTGGGACATAAATTATTGATAATGTTAAGAAATATTATAAAAACTAGCATTTCCCGCGGCTCCGCCCGCGTTCAGGTGTCCAAAAACCAAATTCTTAGGCTTTACATATTAGTATACTCTTACATTACAGTTTTTGTATTTTTTCTCAGAAATGAGATATTTTCCCGCGGTAAAAATTATCCTATATACCCGAATAACCAGCTATCGCCATACCAAATTTCATCAAAATCCTTCCAGTGGTTTTTGTGTGATGCGGTAACAGACAGACAGACAGACAAAAATTCTAAAAACCATAGATTCGGCTTTTGTATTGATAATAACGTTTATTTGAATAAGATTTTCCAAAAAATGTTTAATGTACAGATTTGGCTTAGTTACAATTTTATTATATGTATAGAGTACTCATTATTTTCAAACACCAATTTACATATTATTATATTAAAATTATCGCAATTAAAACTCTTTTCTTGGATTCTAAAATAACTTCCCATGAGCTTTACAATAGTAACAAGTCAGGCCCACGAAGTAGATATAAGCATAAATTATATTTGTATATTAATAATATATGTAAATAAATATTAGCAAACAATGGAGTTAAGCAAGTTCTGTTAAAAGTTTATTTCTTATCTTATATCAGATTAAAAACAGCATGCAAACCTGTTCAATTAAATTCAAACTTGATTGCGCAAACGCAACACTTAAGTGTAGTATGTAATAATGTAAGTATGATGGAGATTATTTGCCATGCCATGGGATGCCATGAGTCAACTTAAGACGTATTTATCAATGGTATGGTGCTCGATGTCACCGAGTATTACCTAACTCGGACAAGGCCGTAGCGAGGCGAGCTGCAAGTAGGTAAATAGGCATCGATATGTGATAATCAGACGTGTTATATGTACTTGTAGTGCATTGGAATTTATTACAAACTAGCGACTGACCCTTGTTTCGCTCGGGTGCGTCCCGATTTAAAGAAATCGGGTGCGTCCCGATTGAAAGATTGTTTTTGCGCCAGGAACCTTTGAAGGCGTATACAAAATAACCCAACAGAGATTCATCATAATGGTTTAGAAACGCATAGAGGACAAACATACGAACATTTATTTTTATTAATACCTATAGACTAGCTGACCGACCGACGTTGTGCTGTTGAAATTTCAATAAATCTTTATCTATGTTATCTTTAGGTTCATATAAAAATGTGTGGAAAAAACACTAAGTTTTTTCCGAATTTCCCAATTTTTCGTTGAAACTTTTCCCCAATTTGTAGTTAAAAACATTATTATAAAAAAAATTAAATAAAATTTTGCATAAATAGGTTACCAAAGAACAGTATATCGTTTTTATTTGTTTGGTATATATCCATTAATGTGGAACTTTATGTTCACTACAATTAAAACACGTAAATG